CCCACCCCCACCCGTTTCCCACCCCTTTTATGGTGGTTTCCTTTCGGAAGCCCAGGGCTCTTCCCCCCGCTGGGTTTAGGCGCCCCTAGGAGCCCCCCTGCAATTCAGAAGCAGCTCGTGGTCAAGACCAGTTAGAGGCAGCTCATCATCAGCAGCGGGGCTCCAGAGCACCCCAACTAAGGGGGGGAAACAACCCTGCCCACCCCCCTCCCCCACCTCACGGACACGAAACAGACACAAAACAGCGGGCACCCCTCCCCAAGCGGCAGGTGTGGTGCCGGTGGGCTGCGCACACTGCTGAGCCCAGCTGCACGCAGGTGCCAGGACGCGGTCGGAGTCTCTTTGCAGAGGCCGCGGACCCTGGCAAAGGCTTGGCCCTCTTCTCTGGGGAGGGGGTTCGAGAACACAGCAGGGGTCTCTGTGGGACAAGTCCAGGGGCAGCAGCAAAGGGTAGCACCACATCCACACTCAGAAGGGGCCTGAGACCGAGCCAGGCAGGGACAGTCACAGAAGCAGAGGAGGGGGGTGGGGTGGGGAGTCTTCAGGTGGCCTGGCGGAGGGTGCAGACCCAGCCTGCGACCTGTGGCTCAGCACAGCTGGTCACTGGGCCCTCGCCAAACCGGACTTGGGTTGGGACCTTGTGTGCACGTGGGCTTCGAAGGCTCGAAGGCGGGGCCCTCCAAGTTCAGTCCAGGGCCCCTCGGCGGCCTACACCGGCCGGGGCAGAGCGCTGTGCAGCTGATCATCATAGCGCTCCAACCAGGTGCGCAGCTCCGAGACCTGGTAGCCGTCAGGGCCGCGGCCGCCCTGGTACATGATGATGCCGCTCTGGACGACGTAGAGGCGCTCGAAGTAGGCGCCGTAGGCGGAGCTGCTGGAGTTGGTCATGGTGTCCAGGACCAGAGCGCAGCCGGGCACCCCCTGCTGCAGAACCCGCGCGGCGCTGACCCGGTCGTCCAGGCTCCGGTGCTGTGGGATGATGTAGGGGGTGTCAGTGGTGACCCAGCCGTCGGAGGGGTGCGCCTCCTCGATGTAGATGATGAGAAAGTCCACGTGGCGCTGGTACTTGGTGACCAGGCGCCGGAAGGCGCTCATTCGCGCCATGAACGGTGGTCAGGTGCAGCTGCCGAAATTGAGCACCAGCGGCCGGTCCCCTCGCGCGTAGTCGAGGATGTGCTGGTACTGGAAGCCTTCGGGCAGGACCACCTGGGAGTTGGGCGCGGGGCCGCCCTCGTGCGCCTGCTTGAAGAGATCCAGCTTTTGGCCGTGCCACACCGCCTTCAGCGACGCCATGGTGCACAGGCGGTTGTCGTCGGACACGCAGATGGGCGGGTCGTCGGGGGGCACCTCCTCCTCGTCACTGTTGAGCTCCATTTCAGGTTGGGGACGACCCCGGCGCCT